AACATGATGCCTCTGCCCCTGTCGGATGATGTACACAGGTTTTTGTTGAGTATTGGTGTACAGCAGACTCGGACTTTCTGTGATTCAGTGCTCGATGGGACACTCCTAATTTCAGTGTGCGAGGTGATCTCTGGCCGAAGCACCTACCTGTGAGAACAAATTACTCAAGGAGCTCAATAAGTAATACAATGTTAACTACATAAATGATGCAAGCAGCATATATAGCCCTTCCTTGTAATGCACATCCTTGTGACGGTTGGCATAGGGCGTAATTTTCTATTTCTTCAAACCTTGCAACAATCTAAATTATAATAAAACTAAAATGTGCTCTTTAAACCAAACTATGATGTTCCACTTATATTTGGCAAATTTATGTTTGAATATTTTACAAAAATATGTTGCTGTGCATGATGGGGTTTTGCATCTAAAGGCTTATGTTTCCCATCTTACGTGCATTGCTGCCAGGTTGGGATGTTTCCCAATCTGGTAGTTTAGGATGGCCTTCTATGGGTAAAAAATGCTTTTCTTTAGATTTATGGCCTGAGAGATCAATAGACTTTGGTTCAAATTGGGCGAGATTTCTTATATCCAGGCGGTTTATGAAAATCTTTTGGGCTGGAAAACGTGAGTCAGTAACATCTGGTTACCCTGCTGATGTGGTGAGTGGAGCTGGTCCATGGGAATATGGATGCAACAGATGTTGCTTCGGTTCAGTTCCATCTACACCGTAGATGGGAAAATACCAGGGCCGAAAATCGTTCCCAGTCTGAGCCTGGTGTTCAGAAAGTAAACAATATGCATTTTCTGTCCAACCTGGTCAGATAAAACTGGATTTGAGTTTTTCTGTTTATTGAAAAATAAGGGGAAGAGAACGGCAACAGGGAACTCTTTTAATTTTTATTTTACAGATGTCCTTTTACAAAGGTTGTGTTTTTATCACTCTTGGATACATTCTTGACCTAATAAGCACGAGGTTTCCTCAAGATAGAAAGGCTCCTCCTTGATATGTCTAAGATGAGATGAGAATTTTTTTTTTAAAAGATGCAATTTTATATATTAATGGCAAAGTAGTTAAAAGTGTATAACTAAGACTGATACTGAATTAGACTGTAAGTTATCAGTGTTAAGTGGGACTGACATGTAGCAACAATGACTGAAGTTGGTGAAAAGTAATCAAATAGTTAAAAGAGAAATCCCAGATTCAGATTTCTTTTGCAGAAAAAAATAAGTAAATAGAGTTACTTTAATTATTTGTGTGTTGGAGTGATTTTTTGCAACATTTTGCAATTGCAGTTATGATGAAAAAAGAAAAACAAGACAGTTGAGGCATTTTAGGGAAGTTTTTGGAGGCTGTTAAGGACAGATCACAATTGGTCTATTTTTGTTTTCCCTCATAAATCTAGAATAGAGTTTAAAAATCCTCATTCTCACACATGAAGCTCTAAATAACCAAGGTCCATCCAGTGACAGATATGTGATTGTTCCTTATATTCCTAACAAAGCACTTAACTCTGAGGCAGATCTTTTAGTTTCAGGCTCCTTTTCTGTGGAACCAACTATCATGAGGCAGACACCCTGTCTATTTTTAAGACTGGTCCACCTATGGGGTGACTATTTCCTGGGACTTAGTCTATGTGTTCTCTTTTATCCATTTTTTTTTAAATTATTAATAAAACCAATTCATATCTCCTCTGCTTAAATGTCTCTTTTCTGGATAGACCTGAACAAATGGGGCTAGTTTACCATTACCTTTCCTCAAATAAAAAGTATTTATGGATCAGAGCTACTATTTTATGTGTCTGCAACGGCACAGTGCAAGCAAATATCTACTGTCACCACATTCTCATCCGGGAGGAGTGAATCATGCAAAGTCAATGACTGAGTGCAGCCAACTGGGTTTTCATGGATAGAAAACTTTGAACAAATCAGACCAAAAGATCTTATTGAATTCTCTCTGTAAAGTGCCTTGATATGACTTGTTGTGAACTGGTGCAATTTAAATAAATGTAAATCCCTTTATTGTCCCACATGGGGAAAAATTACTCCCTGCATTTTGACCCATCCCCTTGGGGAGCAGTAGGCTGCCATTGTGTGGCACTTGGGGAGCAGTATGGGATCAACTAAAATACCTTACAGAACCTTTTTGGCACACATACCAATTCATCTGCAAGGCTTTAGGTCAGTCCACACCACAT